AAGTGGAATTAAGTTGAAAACCTATTATTACCATTACTTTTTAATATTTTAGTTTATCTGAAATGTTAATTGTATCTTTCTTCTAGGCACCGCTAATTATTTATTGTTTTTGTTTTTAAAAAAAAAGGAGAATTTTTTCACAATTTTTGATTATATTTTCATTGTATATATTCTTTTTTTTTGCAAAGGACTTTTTCTTGGTAACATTTTATATTTACTTAATTTATTACTGAAAAAAAAAGAAATTTGGCAGGTTGATAACTTTGATGTCATTGAAAACTTTTTTCCTGATATTTTTGATAGTTTTATATACCTATATAGCTGCAAATTTTTTTGGACAAAGTAACAAGGAGGGATGATGAATGGTTTCTTTCTGTAAAGACTGTTTCAATACAATTGCTGTTGCTGATATGTAGCGTTTTTAACAAAAGTAAACAAAAAGAATGAAATTCATCCACCATAACCCATCAATATTATCACCAATTTTAATCTTTTCGAGAATGGGAAGAAGAAGTTGATGATGATGGTGAAGAAGCAAAAAAAACAGATGAATGTTAAAGAAATGAATGAACAAAAGACAAGAAAAATGAAACAATGAAAAAACATAAAGGAGCTAAAGTTGATTGAAATTATTTGGAACAATTTATAAGAACTATATTATAGAAGAAAACTGAAGAACAAAGCAAAAGAGTGCAAGAAAGTGATAATAATTATGTTATTTGGTTATTTAATTGTTCATTTGTCAATTTCTTGGTTCATTCGGTTGCTTAAGATCAATTATGAATGAAATTACACTGAAGCCATATTCTGTAGTCAAAAAAAAAAAAAAAAGAATCCAATGCGTGCAGCTGAATATAACATAATATTGTTTTTAGTCATTGTAGCAGTGAATGTATTGCCGTTCTACTGATTCCGGCCAAGCAGCTGCCAATTTTGACCTCTTTGCTAAACAGTTCATGGTTTATTAAAGCAACATATCAATTGTCGCTTGGAGAAACTGAAGCAGTGATAGTTTCGGTGGCAAATTGTGCGGTCAAATCGATGAACTGATAGACAAACCAAAAATTTTGTTTTTGCTTATTATTAGGTACTGTTTCTCTCTTTTTCTTTTTTTTTTTTGAGAAGACTGTAGTTTGTTGCTACTGATATGAGAAGTAGTGAAAAAAGAAGAAAAAAGTCAAATTAGGAGGAATAGAAAGGAAGACTGAAGTGGGAGGCAATGTGATTTGGAAAAAAATTACGTTTGAAACATACATATCTTGATATTTTTTCTTATGAGCTGTCTACAGAAACTGAAAAACAGTAGAAATTTTTATGATATAAATATACATCGCTGATTTATTGCTAATATTGGTGTTTTTTTTATGTTTTACGGTGATGATAAAGTGTAGGAAAGAATTTAAAGTTATTGAAGCTGTTGATGGACAAAAAGTTTATTGACGGTTAACCTTTATAAAGTTTAGGAATATTATAGTAGTGTTAAAGCACATTAGTAGAGATCATTGGTGAAAGGGTATTGCTGTTGTTTTGTTCATGTTACGAGGAGAACTGGAGGGGTGGGGGAAGGAGAGGATGAGGAAAAGAAAGGAGATGGTAGCTGTAAAAGGGTAGCTGAAAGCAGAGAATGGAAGGGAATTTGTGGGGGTAAAAGGGGAAACGGCGGGGAAGGAGGAAGAATGGAGATGGGAGAGGGGTTTGCTGAATGCAGTGGGGGTGTACGAGGCGCAGCATTTGTGATAATGTGGTTAGCTGTAAGGCAAAACGAGCCAGCAGCAGCAGCAGCAGCAGCAGCAGTGTCTTTGATGCTCTCTGGTGTTATGGTTTTCTTCGGAGTCCAAGGCGGCTTTATTTCTTTTCCTCCGTATCTTTGAAGGCTTCTTTTTTTTTTTTGGTCAAATATTCATTCATTTTATATATTTGTTTATTTACTTATATATATAAAATATTTTTTATGTATGTGTATATGTGTA